CCACTGGTTGGGGTAGCCTCTCAGATCCGAAACACACATAGCGACATTTAGGCGGAGAGAATTCCATTAGCCATTTTGAGCCCCACGCTGAGACAGCAAACAAGTCAGCATGGATTTGCTCCGGACAATGAAGGATCGTAGATTTACTGAAAGAAAATACACATTTGTGATCATCAGCACAAATTAGTAAGAATGTTTAACTGCCGCCAAGATATCATTTATGCGAAGCAGGAGCAAAAGACGAACTAAAATGTACCTTGTGGGACACCACATACAATATGGCTTTCAATGGAAAGTGAAGATCACACCAAAACATTTTGTTTACCATTAGACAGGCAAGACTTAATAAAGTCCATCAAGGACTGCGAATTCCCAGAGCAGGACTTATGTTATGCATTGTGATAAGTCGCTGAAAAAAATTAGATAATTATTTAAAAAATATTCTGCCAATCAAGAGTCCTTGCAAAATTATTTCCTTATTAATTGTTAATATTAGCAAAGTTAAAAATGCTACGTTTTACTATTGGCTTTGCGGAAATGGCAACTGGAAGGCAATAATGAATTAATGCAAGATCACTTATAAAAAGATCACGATAGAAATCCATAAATAGAGGGAAGGTACCAATAGTAAAAAATCAGTCGAATGTACTAGCGTTTCTGGTCAAAGAGTGGATTAATTGACACAGGTTTCAAAAGTAAATAGCGTCCAGAAGCTTCTGGAAGTTAGGAGAGGATGCATGAGTGTGCTCGTCAATTTCTGGGAAATTAAAATCGCCCACGATGATGTTGATATCAGAAGAAGTCTCTCCAATTTTTTCAAAGAGTTCACAGAGTCGGCTTCCATTTCCGGAGTAACAAGGAGGATTACATACACATCCGACTAAGGCTTTCTTATTTTGCGGAAGGATTACCGTAGCGAAACATAAATTTCCGGAGAAGGAGGAAATGTCCAGGTCATAAGGCCGACTGTGCTAGTGAGGCTCTGATGTAAAGAAGGCAACCACTGCCGCCTCTTTCGACACGGTCCTAGCGGTATAAACT